CAAATTGAATTTGTCACCCTTGACAATTGGAGCTACATATGGTGAGTAATCTTTCAAATCTCCTTAAAATTTTATTGATATAGGTCTCTTGAGACAAACCCAAAAATGTCTCGAGATCTTTCCCTATATATTTTAATACCAATGACATAGGATATCTCTCCTATATCTTTCATGTCAAAATTTGTAGAGAGAAAATATTTATCATTAGTAAATCTTTATCATTAGTAAATATTTCATCTCATATAGCAAATCTTTATCATTAGTAGCAAGCAAAATATCATCCATATATAACACAAGAAAACAAATCCTACTTCCACTAACTTTTAGGTATATACATTGATTCATGACATTTTCTTCAAAACCAAATGAAGTAATGACATTATGGAACTTTAAATACCATTGACAAAATGCTTGTTTTGAACCATATATGGATTTATTGAGTTTGCATACTAAATGTTCACCATCTCTAGAGAAGGTTCCTTCATTGTTTCATATAAACCTCTTCATTTAGAGTACCATTAAGGAATGTTGTTTTCACATCCATTAGATATAACTCAAAATCAAAATGAGCTACTAATGCCATAATGATTTGAATAAAATCTTTCTTTGATACAGGAAAAAGGGTTTCCGTGTAGTAAATTTCTTCCTTTTGAGTGAACCATTGGCAACAACTTGTGCTTATATCTTTCGTTGTTAACTTTTGAGTTTTTCTTTATTTTAAAGACCCATTTACATCCGACAGCTTTTATACCATCGTGTAACTCGACAAGATTCCAAATTTGATTGAATGTCATAGAATAAATATCTTCGTTTATAAAATTATACCACAAGTTCGATGTTGATGAACTCATAGCTTGTGAAAATATTTCAGGATCATTTTCGACTACAATATTGTAATCACTACTGTAGGTAGACAATATAATCACCAGAGATAGCTAGTCTCTTTATTCTAGTAGATTTTCTTAACATTGTATCATCATTCTCTTGAAAAACTTGTTACTCAGTTAGTTTATCAATAATATCAACTGGTTGTTCAACAATTTCTTGATGTTCCTCATGTACAGTGCGATCTACTTGATCAAAATCTGCAGCTTGTGAAATTGCGTTAGTATGTCGTCTAATACTGGTTTGTACTAAAGGGGTATAAAAGACAACTAATCTATCACTTGAACCCTATGGTTCAAGTGAGAGAGAGTTTAGGGTTGAGCTTCATAATGATTCTTTTCGAGAACAATGTTCTGAAGGCAATCACTTCCACTGATCAAGTAATTTTCAAGAAATTTCGCATTTCTTGATTTCACAATTCTAGTATTATGAGATGGATAATAGAATTTGTAACATTTGAACGTTTCAACATATCCAATGAAATATCCATTAATGGTCCTTGGGGTCTAGTTTTTTTCTTCTTTTTTTTTTTTTTGTGGATTGTAAACTCTCAATTCAGACTGACATCTCTAAACGCGTATATGCCTTAACTCGATTTCCAACATTTGAATAACTCAAAATATTTCTTTGAGACAGCCTTAGTTGGAACTCAATTCAATATATACACCGTTATCTTGAGAGCTCCAGTCCAAAAAGACTCAGGGAGTTTTACATTACTTTGCATACTTCTTATCATATTCATTAAAGTCTAGTTTCTTCTTTCAGTAACACAATTATGGTCAGGAGAACCAAGCATAGTGTATTGGATAACAATCCTATGCTTTTGAAAAAATCTTGTAAAACGACTAGGTGCTTGTCCATTCTCTGTATATCTACCATAATATTTACTACCTCTATTAGATTTGACAATTTAATCTGTTTTTTTACATTGTTTATCTATTTCAACCTTAAAAACTTTAAAGGCGTCCAATGCTTCATCCTTAGAATGAAGCAAATAGAGATACATATAATGTAAAAAAACATCAATGAAGGTGCTGAAGTATTTTGGACTACTTGCGCCTATGTTTGGACAACAAATATTTATAGGGGTGAGCATTTGGATTTTCGGTTCGAATTTTGCCAAATCCGAACCGATCCAAAAATCTGAATCTTTTAAAAAAAACCAATCCGAACCGAACCGAAATAATCGAAATCCAAAATCCAAAAATTCGAACCAAATTGAAAATTCCGAAAGTCTAATATTTTTAATTTTTAATTTTTAAATTTATTTTATATTTTATAGTTGATTTATAATATTAATATATAATATATAAAATTTAAATATATTAAAATATAATTAATGATTTTGATTTTTTATTTATATTAAATATAATATTTTCAATAAAATATTAAATATATATAATAAAAATATATATTAAAATATTATATTTCGGATTGGTTCGGATTTTAAGTGTACTAATCTGATCCGATCCGAAACTTTGAAATTTGTCAAAAATTCAATCCGAACCGATTCAAAAAATTCGAACCAAATTTTAAATTTGGGTTTAGTTCATATTGGATTTTCGAATTTTGAATATTTTGTTCACCCCTAAATATTTGTATGTATAACTTCCAATAGGTTCGTACTCCTTTTTGCACCATTTTTAAACTTGTTGGTTTGTTACCTTGAATGTAATTCACACAAGTCTCAAAATCAGTAAAATTCAAGGTACTAAATACTCTTTCATTTACTAATCTTTTAATTCTCTAAGTGAAGATATGTCTCAATTTTCGGTGCAATAATATAGAAGAATTTTCATCCATAATACATCGTTTAGTACCAACATTATCTTGAACGTGTAAAGTCGTTGAGTAATCAATATTTTGCAGATTAACCGAAAAAAGATCATAACTCAAAACCCTATGTCCAATAACATTTGATTTGAAAGATAAACTAAAAATAAAATTTGTGAAATTAAAGCACTAGCCACATGAAACAAGTTTTGAGACAGAAATCAAGTTTATAGCAAAACTAGGAATGTAGAAAGTCTTTTTCAAAGTTAAAACAAAATCACTACTCAAAACTAAATTGCACATCCCAATAGCTTCCACATGTGATAGTATCTTGTTTTCAGAATAAATGTTCAACTCACTTCCCACTGGTTTTCGCCGGTTTTGCAATCCCTGCATGAAATTCGTAATATGGATTGTAGAACCATAATAAATCAACATGTATTATTATTAGTATTAACCATATTAGATTCATAACATACAAATGAAAGTTTAGTAACTTTCTTCTAAAGCCACTTGAAGTATTTAGGACAATTTTTTTTTGTGTGTTATTTTTTTTACAAAAAAAACACATATTGGCTTTCTTGATGTCTTTTTGTAGAGGAATCTTTTCATTCCCTTTATTCTTTACTTGATGTTTCATGTTCTTTTCGTTGGCTACCACCGCCATGTTCACTTTCTCTCTCTCTTCTATAGCCACACGTCCTTCCTCTTGAACACAAGGTCATCAATTTATTGACTGGCCATTTATCCTTATGTGTGTCGTAAGAGATCTTAAAAGGACCAAATTGCAGAGGAAGAGTACACAAAATAAAGTGAACTAGGAAGAAATCAAACATATCAACTTCCAAACGCTTCAATTAAGCCGCTATTATATCACTCATACGTGTGATATGATCACGCACACCCTTTATTCCGGTAAGCTTTAAGGATGAGAATTGCATTATCAGGGTACTAGATAGCATTTTATCAGATGTCACGAATTGATCATCGATAGCTTTCAACAAGGCACGAACATTGGTACAATGCTCAACAGAACTTCTTATAACAGAACTTCTTATTCTAGCATATATTCGAGTCTTTATGAACATAACGCAGAGACGGTTAGATTTCTCTCATTTCTCATAAAGAACGACCTCATCTAGAGTGTTATTGTCAATAATAGGAGATGGTTCATCTTTTATGATGGCATAATCTATGTCCATCCACCCCAAATGCAAAAGAATTCTCTCATTCCAAACTTTATAATTGTCTCCATTAAGATCGGGAATATCAAATTTCATATCAGAGATATTGAATAGATTGAATTGCCGCAATAAAAAAAATAAATATGCTCAAATCGTAATTAAATCGAAGCACAAATAAACCATATAGCATGTTTTACCAATGTAAGAATGAAAAAAATATGAATCTATTGACATAAAACATGTCTGTGGACTAAAATTTTAATTCGATTAGACTCATCAATTATGTTCCTTTTTCTAATCCTTGTAGGTAAATTAGAAATATAGTTGATATAATATTCTAATTAACCATACAAATATAACAAAATTCTTATAGGTAAATTTTATGATATCACGTATAATTAATTACAATTTATGTTATTTACTATATGCGATTGTAAATATAAAATATAATTTCAATTAATCAGAAAAGTTACGGGGGATTCAAAATTAATTAAAACTATACTAATCACATAACATTACAAGAAAATCGATCCCATAATGATTTTCAACATCAATTTCTCAAAAATATCTCAAACCAAAGAAATCCGTTCGAAAAAAAAAATGGAACATCAAGACAAGGTAAAAATAGCTCTAATACCAAATGAAAGCATAATAATCTATTCAATGCGGAATAAGACTCAAAGAATCAAAACTAAAATGAACCTCAAAACATACGTTCGACCATTGGTGTTAAACTCGAATGCAATGTTTCTTGGTTCTTCTAAACATTTGCACTATTTTTTTAAATGGTGTAGAAACTTTTATACGGTGATACTTATGGCACCAAAATTCTAAAATTTATGTCTCAGTTACTTACTTCCATCAAATAAGTGAGAAATTTAATACAATGTGCGAGAATAATTGAATAGGAAAGGCTTTTCACATAGATGAGATTAAAATTAATATTTAGTATCGAAGTTACAAAACATTTCATATAAATCCAGTACTTCGTATAGACCATAATAACATTAATATCGATAGAATATTTTTTAAAAAAATGAATATGGCAAGTGATTTAAAATTGGACCTGGATCCAACCCTCAAGGGATGTTGAGCGCGCTTGATCTACAAGGCCTGACAGTGATATAAAATTGGTTAAGTAACTGGAGCTATGAATCTGAAAGAAACACTACATAGTGACTAGAGAGACCAATTTTCTTGTTTCGTGCAAGGCAAAAAGTCACCTCTTTTCTTGTTACTCTATGGAGGAAGATTGACTTGTGGTTGTAGAAATAATAGATACATAGATAGATATATCATATATATGCAGCAGCATCTGTAGTAGTCGTAGTATTAGGAGTATTACCATACTCCATAATTAGGCCGAAAATGGTGAGCTCCGTAAGGTCGACGAAAACCTTTATCAGCAAGAGCATTACCCTACTCCAGAATTACGCCGACAACAGGCTAACCAATCACGGCGCCGCTCTTCACTGCCACTTAATCAAGATGGGCGTCTCCTCCAACAAGTACATCGCCGTCAAGCTGCTCATCATGTATTTAGACTCCCGAAGATCCTGGGAAATTGACCGGATGTTGAAGGAGTTCCACGGCTTCAACGTCGTCGTTCACAATTGTCTGATCAATTCGCATTGCCGATGGGGAAACCTAACCGATGCCTGCCGGGTGTTCGACGAAATGCCTGAGAGAAACGAGGTTTCTTGGACCGCCTTGATCTCTGGCCTGTTCAAATACGGACACGTGGACAAGGCCATGTTCTATTTCCAGAGGAACCCTTTCATGGATGTGTTCAGCTGGACGGCCACGATCGGCGGGCTTGTGCAGAACGACCTGAGTTTTCCGGCGATGAAGCTTTTCAAGAAGATGATTGCTTCCGGAATTTTGCCCAACGACATTACCTTCACTTCTCTGATCGCGGCTTGCATCCAATTGGGCGATCTTGGATTGGGGAGAAGTGTTCTGAGCTTGATTGTGAAGCTAGGCTTTGATCAGAATGTATCGGTTTCGAATTCGTTGGTTAAGTTTTTCATGGAGTTAGGAGACGCCGATTCTGCGAGGATAACGTTCGACAGGATGTCGGCAAGGGATATCTTCTCTTGGACGACAATGCTGGTCATGTGCGCCAAGACGGGAGACTTGGGAGAAGCTCATCGGATCTTCGAACAAATGCCCGAGAGAAATGAAGTTACATGGAGTGCCATGATCTCGAAATTTAATCAGAGTGGAAAGACAGAGGAGGCAGTGAGTTTCTTTAAGGAGATGGTTCGACGCGGATTCAAGCCTAACGTATCATGCTATTCGAGCATTATTAGCGCGCTGGCAAGCCTTGAGGCGATGCCGGCCGGAAGGAATGTTCACGCGCATGTTTTAAAGATCGGTATGGATCGAAATGTGTTTGTTGGTAGCTCGCTCATCGATTTGTATTCAAAATGTGGGAATGTTATCGACGGGCGCGTTGTTTTTGATAATTTACTGAACAAGAATCTCGTGTGCTGGAATTCGATGGTCGCGGGATATAGTTTGATCGGCGATCTTGCAGAAGCTGCAGAGCTCTTTAGCCGGATGCCTCAGAGAAACTGCGTATCTTGGAATTCGTTGATTGCCGGACATGTCGGGATCGAGAATTACGTCGAAGCATTAGAGCTCTTCGTAAAGATGATATTGTCGGGAGAAGAGCCGAATAAATCAACCTTTTCGAGCGTTCTTAGCGCTTGCGCGCATCTAGCGATGTTCGAGAAAGGTAAGTACGCGCACGCGAAAGCTCTGAAGCTCGGGTTCGAGAGCGACGAATTCGTTGGGACAGCACTCGTGGACATGTACGCGAAATCCGGCAGCATCGAATGCTCGAGAAAGATCTTCGACCGAATGCGGACAAAGAACGAGGTCGTCTGGACGGCATTGATTCAGGGTCTCGCGGAAAACGGATACGCCGAAGAGTCGCTGCGGCTGTTCGAGGAAATGGAAGAAACGACGCGCATTGCGCCAAACGAGCTGATACTGTTATTCGTTCTTTTCGCATGTTCGCACTGCGGCTTAGTCGACAAAGGGCTGCGGTACTTCGACGCGATGGAGAAACGGTACGGCGTGAAACGGAACGGGAGGCACTACACGTGTGTGATCGACATGCTGGCTCGATCGGGACGGGTCGATGAGGCGGAGAAGTTCATCGATAGTATGGCGCGTGAACCGGAGGCGAACGCGTGGGCGGCGCTGCTCAACGGGTGCCGGGTGCACGGGGAGGGGGCGGCGGCGGAGAGGGTGGCTGGGAAGATTCTGGAAGGTTCTGGAAGGAAGGGTGGAGGGTATGTTATGGTGTCGAATATGTATAGTTTGGAAGGGAGATGGAGTGAGGCTGTGATGGCGAGGGATTTGATGAAGGAGAAAGGAGTTAGGAAAAATGGTGGGTGCAGTTGGGTGGAGGTGAGGGGTGGAGTTCATGTGTTTTATTCTCAGGATAAAACTCATGTTGATGCTCAAAGTATTTATTGGGTTGTGGAGATTATCAATTCGGAGATGAAGTCCAATTGAATTGAAGAGAGAGAGATATCATTTATTTATTTATTTATTTAATTTCTTGATTATTGAATTTTATGTTCATTTGGTTGAAATAAATTACTCCTCCCAACCATAGTGCAACATTTGTGGTTGACACGAGAATTTAAGAATTTAAATGAAGAGTATTAAGTACGATAATTTAAGTGTATACTATAATATATGTATATAAATATTATTAATTATTTTTAAATTTAAATATATTGCAGTAAATTTGAGACAAATAAGAAAAAAAAAATATTGCAGAGTACGGAGGGAATACATGTTTCAATAAAAATGATTATAAATTTAAATAAAAAGTATGTTTAAATTAACCATCAAAGACTACTTTAATGGAGTTAGGAACTTACTACTCCAAATTATATTTTTTTTCTTTCAATATTATTTTTTTTAATTTTTTTTTTTTTACTTTTCTATCATTCATTCAATTTATCAGTATTTTTTCTATTTTTAGAGTAAAATTATCAATTCATAACAAAAAAGTATTTACCTAACAAAATTATACAAATATAATTTAGGACAATAAAATTTAGACGGAAAGAGTATGATATTTTACTCACGAAGTGTATTATAGTAGCTTGAAGTTATTAAAAAATCATCACACGACAAATAACATATTATTAAATTAGGATAATAATGTGAAACAATTAACAAATTGTTATAAGAGCAATTGCAATAGTAATAGAAGAAAAATGTTTCGTTCGATTACTCGTCAAGCCAAAATATTCAATATTCGATAGATAAAAAAGAGAAATGATTTAATAACTATTTGAGAAAGAGAAAAAAAAAATCAATATTCCATAGATCGGAAAGAGAAGAAGAAGAAGTGAGAGAAAATAAGGAAAAAAACAAGTGAAAGAAAAGAAAGAGAAAGTGAAAAAAATGAGAAGAAGTGAGAGAAAATAAAAATAAAAAAAATAAAAAAATAAAAAAAAAAAAAAAAAAAAAAAAAGGAAAAAGTAGAAAGAGAAGAGAGAGAAGGAGAGAGACAGACTTGGTGATGGTTTCTTCTTAACCAAATGTCAGTCAAATATTTCTATTTTTTCTATCCAAATAAAAGTAACTGTACTACTTATTTTAAAAAACTTCAACATAAAATTCGGCTACCGACAAAAAGTCCTATTAAAGAGCCATTATAATTGCTCTAAAACAACATATATTGTGTTAAATAATATGATATTATTATATTAATATTTGTTGATTAGGTAAATTATTGTTGTGCTACAATCAAAATATATATTTTTATATATATAATATACTATTCAAATATGTGTTATACTTACTTCTTCTAATTCAAAGTATCATTTATATTATTTTCGTGTGTCTTACCCAGAAGTACTCTTTTTCACTTTTAGTAATATTAATCCTACACTAACTGATATGTGCTATATATGATAATATTTTGCTATATCTTGAGCAATTTTTTAATGTGGAATTCTTCATGGTGTGTTTTTTTATTGTGTAATAGATTTTATGGAGTTGACAAGTTCTTTGGCATATTTTGGAGAGAACGAAGGCGTGATCACACATGTATAATGTGAAAAATATGAAAATTTACAAAAAGACCATCAGGGATAAATTGAAAATATAAAAATTATGTGAGAATAAGTGCAAAAGTGATCTAATTAAAAGAGAATCATGTGATGAAAAATGAAAATGCATGATTTGCAATTGAAGAAGAGGGAGACAAACGAGTTATCACATTCTCACCTACATCACTACTGCTTAAAGAGGAGAAGGGAAGAACACGACATAATGCAGAGAACTTCTGGGAGCACGGCAGAACGAAGAGAACTTGGAGATGCTTTCTCTTTCGTCCCTTAATTTTTCATTGCAGACGACTTTTCGGGGTATTCTTCTTTTATTCTAGTATTGTTCTTCCTTATCTATTTCTAAATAATTTAAGGCATGATGAATTTTTTCAATTGTTTTATATTTTCAATTTCTATGAATTTCGAGTAATTTCATTTCTAGCGTATGTGTGAATGAATGTTTGGGATTGAATTTGCGATACTTGATTTTTTATGTTTATTGATATTGGGTATTTCTAATTCTTCTATTTACGAGTTTAGAAATCTTAAAGTGATTATTGCGCACATATTGATTTGAAATTTCGTAGCTAAATTGGAGATTGACACCCGTAATTGTGTAATTTTCCAATTGGTGTAGCAACATAGATGAATACTCTAGGGAATAATTAGAATTAATTTTGAGCAAATCCGCGTAGAAATTTTGTTAAATTGAATTGAGTATTTCTAGTACTTCAAGTTGTCGAGTCAGTTATCGTACCTTGGATTCTCACTCGATTAAGGATTTAGCTAACGGTCGTACCTTAGCTATCGACAAAGTAAGAAAAGGTTTGTTGTAAAAGCATGTAGATCAACTATAACCAATTTATCCAACTAGTCAATGAACTTGATTTTTAGTCGATGAACAAATTTTATATCCCGAACAAAAAAATTCATGCCTACGCTAGAGGTTTAATTATATTTGGTAAACCGTCTTGCAATTTATTTTATTTTATTTTATTGAGTGAATTTATTTTTCTCAAATTTAGTGTGATAAATCAAACTCCCCCATTATATATATATAATTATAAATAACCAAATAGTCAATATTGTTATTGTTTTCTGCGGAGACGACCCTACTTACCGAACTACTGCATTTTGCAATTTTTTTTTTGTGTGACGTGAGAAATGATACTTTATTTTGCAGTTGTGCAACACGCGTGCACTAACAGTAAAATACTCTTAATTTTTATTTAAATATAAACAGACCATTACACGTATAGTTACTTTATACAAAAGAAAATCAAATGACAAAAATATAAAAAAATTTTACACACTTTCGTTGATTAATAAAATATTATTATTTTTTCATCTACAACAAAATTCTAAAATTTCTTTCAAAAGGAATGGAGGGAGTATATTATATTCATATTTGTAATTTTGTGTATTTGTTTGGGGGTTTGGATCTTGAGTTAGGATTTTGAATAATAAAAATTTTGAATTTGAATAGTTGTATGATGTGATATAGATAGGTGTTGATGTGATGTTTTGAATGTAAAATCGATTTTTAGTATAATATAAAAAATGAAAAATAGGTGTTGATTTTTTATTTTTTAAAAAAAAAAATGGAATGAATAGTAGATTTAAAATCCAATCCCCCAAACAAACACACTATAGATATTTGCTAATGGATATTGTTGATGTATTTTTTCAACAAACAAAAAGTAAAATTCAAAGATATGGAAATATCCTTAAATTTGATTAATTAGTGTCTGAGATTAGGAATCTCTAAACACTGTACGGTACATAAGAAAATTAACTGGAAATAAAAATGCTGGAAATTTAAAGTGGTGATCCCCGAATCTGACTTTGCTTTTGTTGAAGTTGATTGAAGATGCCTTCTCCAGAAAAATCCAAATCCTTAAATATTCCTTGAAGAAAACGCTTGGAACCGTCGTCTGGTTGGTTACAACAACCGCCGTCAACCGCCCAAAAGAAACGTTTTGAAACGTCGCTTGGTCAGTTACAGCAACCGTCTCGCCAACTGCATAACCCAACCGACTAATCCAGCGACTAACTGGTCGCTAGACCAAAAGACTCATTGGCCGCCCCCACCAAGCGACCAAACTACTGTTCACTTAAGTGGGCAATCAATTACCAGACCTTACTTCGCCTGACCTCCGTAGCAGCCGACTTTAATTGGTCCGACCACGGACCTACCAACTACAGACCATCCGACTGCAAACCATCCGACTTATTGATCCGACCTGCTGACTATCCGACCTGCGGACCTGCGGACCGTCCGACCTGTAGACCGTCCGACTCCCTAACTATCCGACCTGCGGACCTTTCGACCTGCGTATCATCCAACTCGCTGACTATCCGACCTGCGAACCTTCCGACCTACGAACCGTTCGACTCGCAGACTATCTGACCTGCGGACCTTCCGACCTGCGAACCAACCGACCGAGGACCAACCGACTTTCCTATCCGACCGCAGACCTTCCGACCTGCCGATCCGACCGAGAACCAACCGACCAGACCAACCGACCAAGGACCAACCGACCTGAGCGCAAATTTTTTTCTTTTCCACCTGACGTCGTGTCTAACTTCCTTTAAGATTCTGCTATCCTTATTTTTATTATTATTATTTTTTTTTTGTACGTAACAATAAGCCTCCTCCTCAAGACTCCTAAGCGTCACTTTCAGTGATGTTTTAGGAGTTTGCAGGCCGTCATCCGAGGCCACATCAGCCTCAGATCCGACCTCCTTCTCTCGAGGCTACGTTGGACCCAACCTCCATTTATCGTAGATTGGCGGTGGCCTATGCTTTGGTCGACCTTGCACTACCATTTCTTCAACACCTCCCCCCTGACCGAAGCCGCGATCATTCTCTTTAAAAAATTATTCTAACCTTCCTGCCTTGGATGCTAAACTAGCTAGATCTCGAACATCGTGGGCTGTCAAAGCCTCCCGAAGGTTGGTGTGCATTTTCCTGACCACCAAAGTGGTCATTTCACTTTCTTCAATGATTGTCGGGCAACGTCCCTTCATTAATCGCATCCGTTCTATGAACTGGGAAGCGGTCTCCTCCGGCATCTGCTCGATCTCAAAAAGGTCTGTGAGTGAGACTGTTGGAAGAGGAATAAAGAACCTTGCATGAAAGGCCGCTTCCAAACCTTCCCAGGTTTGTATTTGTCCAGGTGGTAGATCGAAAAACCATGAAAAAGCTGTTCTGGTAAGAGACAAACCAAATAGTTGCAGTTTATAAAAAGGGTTGTTACCGATCTCTCCTAACTGTGCTGTGAACCGACCAACATGCTCTATGGTGGAGGATCCGTCTTCTCCTGAGAAAACATGAAAGTCTGGCGGTCGATAATTCCTCGGGAGAGGATACTCATTGATGATTCTTTCTGGAAATGGCTTTTGATACACTGGTCGGTTCACCATTTGTGGGTTTATTCCGAAATGCACCTGCAAAACTTGAGCGATATCCTCCGGATCTACCCTGGGTGGAACATAATCTTCCCTAGAGAAGGCTGGCTCTGCTGGGATGGGATTATGAATCTGATCTCTCAATCTTTCTTCTCTGGGGACGGTTGGCTCGTCT